ACATTCTTGTTTTTATTTATCTCTAAATAAGTATTTAGGGATAAATTTTCTGAGTGTTGGAAAACAACTCTCAAATGGTTCAGCACAAATATGTGTCTATTTTTGCGTTAGTAGAAACAGTGACATAATGGTGACATAATGTTAACAATTGGTGAATCTAGGTGAAGAGCATACCTGTGTGTTTGTGGTACTGTTCTTATAAATTCTTTGTAAGATCAAAGTTTTTCAAAATAGAAAGTGGAAAGTAAAAACAATAAGGCCTCTATTAATTTGGTAAGCATAAATAAGAAAACTGAAATTTAGAAAGAAGAAGAGACTTGCTCAAGGTTATTCTTTACCCTACTTCCTCGCATCCATTCTCCACCTGGGAGAGAGACCCCTGCGGATGACTGGGTTCCCTGACAAGTTGGCTTCTGGGAGGGATCAGCTGATGAGAAGCACCAGCAGAAGATCAAAGGCACAAGGATGGAAGTCAGGGTATTTCCTTCCTGCTCTCTTCCAGATTCAGGGCCCTGTCTCTAGCAGAAACAGTAGTTCTGCACAACTACAACTCTTGTTGGATGGCCCCCAAACCTCTTCCAAGATGCCAGTTCTCACTATTTCTTCCTCTAGTCCTTTCAGTTCTGGGAGTGGTATCAGCTTTCACTGTTACCAGCACTTGAATGTATTAACATCCTCTGCCCCCTAGCCAGTTTAATACCTCTCAAAATCTCGTCCTTTCATTGAATATTTTATTTAAACCACATGTGTCCTGTGGAGTCCCTGATTGATTCAGTTCTACAGCTGGTAAGTGGCAAAAACCAAATTTAAACCCTGGTCTCATTGCTATCCAATACTTGTTTTTTCGCCTATTATCTCATCTGCAATAATATGTTGTATCATAGGGGTATATTTATTACAGTCCATCATGTGCAGTTCTGTCTCTCTTATTTCAGGTTCCAGTCCAACGACACGTATACTCTCACCACACACACAGCATTTAACCAGGACTTTCTTTGTATATAACAAG